GTCGTCCCGCCGCGAAATTTTTCCCTCCGATTTGGAACGAGAACGAATCACGATCCGCGAGGCGAATCAGCTAATTGACCGTAGCGTGGAAGCCGCAGGAAACAGCTGCAGCCTACTTCTTTGCTAAAGTTAGTTTCGACGTTCCTCCCTTCTGCTACCGTTCTTTCCTATCGCGCCATCTTATTGGTTTTACACTTTGGAACGATCGCTTCGCTACGTTATTCTTTTTATTTTCGTCAAATGCCGCGGCAGTAACGGCAAATTGATTCGAGCTCCGCTCCACCACGTCATAGTAGCGAACTACCGAGCATGCTTATTATACTTTGGCCGTTTTACGCGCTAGAACGAGTACGAGGGCGCGCGATAGGACGCAAACGACGCGATATTTCAGCAGGAAATTCCGATTCGAATGCAGCTTGAATGAAAGGGGTTCGTTGATCTGGCGTTTTACACCGAGCTTCTGGTAGACGAAGCGTCTCTCGAACGAGCCATTACGAGGCTCTGTTCCTGCTGGCTAACAACGGCGCCATAGTACGATACCTCTGACTCGTACAAGCAACGTCTAAACAAAACAAAAGATATCGCTGTGGCATCGGTGCTGCCAGATCGCGTTGTACTTTATGGCAAATTTAACGAACGTGTACGACTTCTCTGTTTCGCGAACGTTTCGAGAAGCAAGCTCGTATCTCGTGGCTAATCTTCTTACGTATAACATACAACGCGTTGATGCAACATCAGCGATTAGTATTTTTGCTCGTGAAAGTATCGTGTTGCATAGGTAGGAGAATTTTGGCTCGTCCGACCAAATACCGACCTGTTCTACCGATAATCGGACGGCGCTTACTAACACCGCAAGACGTTTATTCACCTAACAAAGATGATAAGAGTGGAAATTACACTTACGTTTGTAGTCTGATATTTCACCAACGAAAGTAACACTTTTACGTCCACTTTAAATTTTCATCCGCTCTTGTAGACAAATCGATGGAATCGCGCCAACTTTTGCGAAGAAGCCTGCTATCAGACAAGAAGACGACGGTAAACGATTACTTTTCGAATGTCGCATCACGGCTGATCCCACGCCAAAAGTAACGTGGTTTCACGATGGAAGTTTGGTTAAAGATTCGCCGAGGCACAAGGTTAGTCGTCGGCTCCTTTCATACATCGCTAGCTTTGCTACAACATCGACGTATGAGAAATTATTAGTTTCGCTCGACCAGCGTTACGCTCTGACGATCGTTAACGATCGCTTGGCTCTAACAATGTGTTTCTAGCAGCAAGTACGTCAATATTTTATCAAACACCGTCGAAACGTTTCAGCTAACCGTCGATAAAGATGGCCACTCGTACTTCGCGACCCTGGAAATCAAAAACGTGACCGTCGAGGATGCTGGTAAATATAAGGTCACGGCGAAGAACGAGCTCGGCGAATCCAACGCCACTATTTCCCTAAACTTCGATAGTAAGTATAATATAAGATCAGCTCACTTTATCGCTGTCCACGTGCTCGAACACTCGATGGCACCGGTTTACATTTCTTCGTACTCCTGTTCGATTCGTAGTGACATCAGCTCGACGTCACGTTCGCGTCATCGAAAGAAATACAAAGAAATTCGTTTTACATATTTTCGTAGTTGGCGTTTCTCCTCGTAGTTGTACGGTACGCGCGGTATCGTTAGTTCGATCTGCCTTTTGTTTCCTTCGTCGAATCGACGGTCCGTGGAAATTCCAACGTTACGTCCGTCGCTTAAGAAGAAATGTAAATCGGTTTACCGTCATCCACCTTTTCACTTTTCTCTGTCTCTACTAATTCGGGGTGTATATCGGTGATCCTCTATCTTGTTTCTACGTTTCACACGTTCTCTGAATTTCTGTCCTGTACATTTCCCCCTCTCTTCGACCTTGTCTCTGTTTTATTCTTTATTTTTTCTTCTCACCCACCTTACGCTTTTTTTTTCTTCTCATATTCTGTCTCCATCCGTACGTGTGGTATTTATTTTTTAATGATTTATCTCGGTCGAGCAATGAGCACGTATCGATTGTTAGCTCGACGGAGCGACGATATACAGCCCAATTTAATCTAAAAGAAGACTAAAAGCAAAAGGATTATCGGGAGTTCCGCATAGATCGACAGCATAGATCGCAAATTGAATTCTAATTAATCCGTAACGATAAAGCTGCTTGAATCACGTATTAATTTCGATTAGCATTCCACGCATCCGATAGATAAGAAAACTAGTGCAATCCTTGTATTTCAACGTTGTCTACGACCATCGAAACGACCGGAGACATCATCGATTCGGTTCGAATCTTCGAGGCAAAATTGAAAGAAGAAAGAGTACGCGTAGCTAGTCTCTGCACGGTTGAACGATAAAATCGGTGCATGGGATGCGGATCGCCTCGTGCTGACGCTTCGTTAGGTTGCTACAGTCACATTTACATACAGAAGACATTTGTCTTCTCATCGGCACGAACATCGTTTGCCGTGTGAATTTCTCACGTGTAATATTCGTTGCGCGATAGAAACAGTAGCATTCGATGTTAGACTTATGTATAACGTACATATACTCATGCGTACGCTCAGATGTGTTTTAAGAGATTATCGACTAATTTGACATTACTAAAAGGGACTTGAATCGTAACCGTACAAACGTAGATATATACTTTGATTTCACGTTTCACGAACCTTTACGCTGCGATATTCGATCATCGGACGAACGCTGTCGCGTTTACGCGTTCATTCGCGGTTGTAATTTATTTCGTCGATGTAAAAGATAGATGAAAATGGAAGATCGAGGGATCGTGTTTTTCTCTTCCAAGATCGACACCGCTCGAGAACATCGCAGTCGAGGGAACGAATTACGCAACGTAAGGGTCGACTCGCTTAGCCAATTATCGCACTTACCAAAGAGTTTATGGAGTGGTAAACGTACATGAGCTTTTCTATGTAGTAACAAGAGAATGTAAATAACCGAGAGAGCGTAATTACATTGGCAAGGAAACGCTAGACCGCGTTCAGTCACACTTTCCTACGACGTTGAGACGAACGTCGTTCCATCGTACAGACAGGACAGGACAGGACAAAAAAAAAAGAGAAACAGTGGCAGGAGAAAGGGTAAAGTAACGCGTGTTTCACGAACAAATGAACACGACTACGATGAAAAGCAACCTAAGTTAGGAGATGTCGGTTTGCTAGGCGAATCAGTCTGTTTCCAACGAAAGCGATAAGTAGAGAAGATGTAGCGCAACTTCGAATCGATACGTAGCTCTGACCTTGAATCGAAGAGCTTAAACCTTCCGCAACCAGATCAAGCAGTACGGGTTGAATATCGAACCGTGCGCCTGGTTGCCTGGTCGCTGAACCAGATAAGGGTGCGAAGGGATTAAGCGACAGCAATGATATTGTAAAGGGATCTCTCGACACGTAGATCGTTTGTATGAACATAGGCGACGAGGCGCCCGTACCTGACGACGGTATTAAACCGACCTTCACCGAACGACCGGTGATAAGGCAATCCGACGACGGTAACACCATCACCTTCGAATGTCGATTAGTCGGCGACCCGAAACCGAGTGTCAAGTGGTAAGATTGCGTGCACGTCTACAGCGCGGAAGTACGTCGGGACCATGGCAACAATCGTATCTTACAAATATCGGCCACTTTTTTTTTTTAACATCCGGTATAGTATGTGGCACGCTTCACGAATTTCAACGATTCGACAGGTACGTCGTCAAGATCGACGTCTCAGGTCACACTTCACCGATACGCGATACTGTCTCTTTCTCAACGATAGAACCGAGTTGAGTATTTCAGCATTCGTCGTTAATGAAAATCGTTAAACTACTTGTACAAGTATGCAGTAAGTGGAATATAAAAGTTGTATCGTGTAACGTAGCTGCCTGATGACTGTTGAAATATTTTCACGAGCTGTGCGTATCGATGAAATTGCTCGGGACGTTGATCGTGATAACGTGCGCGAAAGTCGTTAAAATCGGTGAAGTACAGCCGGTAAATCTGTGAATAATTATCGAGACACTAGCTCGTAGTCCTGTCACAGCATGCCGCTCCCCTTGCCCTTCTCTCTTTGTCTCTCATTTTTCGAGACCGATAGTCGAACGTCATTAGCGACCGAACTTTCGTACTTCCAATCGCGTCACCCTTCGAACGCACTGAGCATACATGATGGTTTGATGGGCACGAATTAGGTATCACGGTAGCGAAGAGGTGAAAGAAGGAGGAAGATACAGCATGTCGCTGGAACTCGATCAGAAGCTGTACCATCTCGCGAGGTTAAAGATCGACAACGTGGCGAAAGGCGATGCAGGCGAATACAGAGCCGTCGCGAAGAATAAGCACGGCCAGGGTGTGGCCACCATTAACTTGAACTTCGAGGGGGGTGACAAGCTAAAGTATGCATCGACCGTGTTTCGAGCCGGATGATCGTCGCGTCGCTAGATTTACGTACTCGTAGAATGCTACGAGATTTTCGTTTCTCTTATTCTCGGGAGTAACACCGTTCCTTGCGACGAACGCGGTTCTTGCAGTCGCAGTGGTTTACGACGCGTTGAACAGCGACACTTCGTTAAAAATAAAAGGCGCTGGGGGAACGTATAAAGCAGAATCCAGTAAAGAAAAAGATAGCTTGGCGATGGAGAAACTCTGTTATTGTGTGTAAAATTCGCTTACGTTTCGCGATTTACCGAGGGAAGTTGAAAATTTTCGATGGTTCTATTTCGATTGCCGGGCATTGTGAGCAAAAAGAGCTACAAATCTTTTTTTCTTCTTCTTCTAATAAAAATAATAGACTTTTAGATAGAGGGAAGCTTGTTTGAAAAATTTCCTAGCGACGCGACGACCCGTGAAACTCGAACAACGAACGCGCAAACTACATGTGTGGCGCAGATTCGATCTTCGCGTAACGGAGAATCGAGCCGAGTATCTGACGTGTGGATTTACGCAGAATACCAGACGGTAAACCACCGCGTTTCCCAAAGAAGCCAACTATTCGACAAGAGGGAGACGTTTTGATTATGGAGTGTATCTTGGAAGCTCATCCGGTACCGGATATAACGTGGTACCAAGGCCAGAAAGCGATCACCGACAGCAAACGCGTGAAGATGTCACGCAAGGCAACGGGAAAGGACGCGTATTTGCTCACGCTCGAGATATCGAATCCGACGAAGGCCGACGGCGGAAATTATCGATGCAACGCGTTTAACAACTTTGGCGAGAGTAACGCCAACATCTCGCTCAACTTCCAAGGCAAGTCCCTCTCGATGCAACAAACGCCGCGCGGTTCTCGTTGGCTCTTGCTCTTTTCACTTTTACTTTTCGAGAGAGTACAGTCAAAGTTCGGTAGCTCGAATTTTTCAACCCTTCCATCCAATTAATTTCACTTAAATTCGAATTATTTGAAATTAATACAAGTTATAATAAGCTACAGAAAGGTTTTATAGCAAGTTAACTCGGGCTAATTCCGATTCTTTCGCGTTTCTACGTACGGATTACAGAGAAATTGATATTCTTAAGACACTGTACGAGATAAACGGGTAAAGTGTTCAGAACTTCTGCACTGTTTCTGCAGACTCTACGAAGGCTCGAGTTACCCAAGTTCGACTGTACGTTACTCCGCGTTTTTGCGAAACGAGAGTCGACAGCCAAACGAGACGTTCCCTCTGAAACTCGGACCTTCCACTTTTCCTAGCACGTTTTTCTTATAAAACAAAAGACCATCGGAAGAATACGCTATTCTGTGCTATTCGCGTACAAGTACAGACACGATATGTTTCCTGGTTGTTTCCAAGGGAAGGTAAGTGCATGTTGTGCTATCGCTAACTAATCACAGAGTCCTTTTCTGGTCGCTTCATAACCCGCTTCGAATCCTGAGCCGAATCTCGCGCGAAAGCTGGAGAATTCGCAGGAACAACGTATAGTAGAAAAATTAACGTCATCCAAGTTTCGCTAACACTAAAATAAATCGAACTCTCCCTGACTAGCTGGATCGCGATTTTCGTTGAATGAAAAGTCGTTCGGTTCGACCAAAATCGTGATTCGGCCGAGCGAGTCGCTTCTGCCGTTTGAACGGTCGGAAGTGGACTCTTCTCGCGACCGTGCTTAACCCTGGATCTTTCCAAGATGCAGAAGAAGGACCTGGTTTCGCGCCGACGTTCGTCGAGAAACCGCGTATCATTCCGAACGAAACCGGTACCTTGATCACGATGAAGTGCAAATGCAAGGCGAATCCAAAACCGGAAGTCACATGGTTCCGTGGGACCAACGTCGTCAAGGAATCTTCCAAGATTTCGATCAAGACGAAAACCGTGGAGGAAGACGTTTACGAATTAATCATGGAGATCAAGGTAATATCATCGGAATTTTATATCGTTATGTTATCATAATCTTGCATTAGTAATTGTTCGTTTCATAGCGTTACCAATTATTTGTAATATTTGAACTAACGATTTGTCGTACGAGCTTCCATACGAAACGCCAAGTACTTTTTATGCTAAATTCGGATACGTAACGAGCTTCCTTCTATCGCTGAAGATTTTTGAGCAACGCGCGGTTTAATAATTAATAATTCACAGGCCGAGTAGAAACTGGCGATAAATCTAAATGTCTGTTGCAGGATCCTTCAGCACCGGATGGCGGTACTTACAGATGTCACGTGAAAAACGAATACGGCGAAAGCAACGCCAATTTGAACTTGAACATCGAAGCGGAACCAGAACCTGAAGGCGATGGTCCGACGTTTGTGGAGAAACCGCGTATTCAGTCGCAAAACCAGGGTAAACTTGTGATCATGGATTGCAAGGTAAAGGCAAATCCAAAGCCCGAGATTGTGTGGACTCACGCCGGCAAGGTGGTGAAGGAGTCTTCGAAGATCTCGATCAGCGTCGTTAAAGAGAAGGAGGATATCTATTATATCAAATTGACTTTGAACGATCCTGGCCCAGAAGACTCGGGCTTGTACAAGTGTAATATCAAGAACGATCTTGGCGAATTGAACGCCAATCTGACGCTCAACGTCGAGAGTGAGTTTTCATCTGTACCTTAGTTTCGTTATCTCCTAGTGTGGATCGATAATTTGCCATTTTTCGCGCATTTATGGGAAATTTAAAGACGCAACGCGGAAAGTCTTCGCGACAGAGAAGCGATTATTTCTGAAACAGGAACTCGTACATTTTTTTCCATAATTCAATCTTTAACACTTTCGCTTCGAGTGCTGCATATAGGCGGCGACTCCTGAGCCCGGCACCCCATATATCCGGCATCCAAATGATGCATATACAATGATGCTATCTGTAGTCAATAATATATTTTTTCATATATAATAATATATTGACATATTGGATCAATCACTTCTTAAAGTTACTCATTGTTGAAACAACATCAAAACGTTTCACGCAATATATTTCAAACATCCAAACCGTATACTGTTTCGTGCTAAAAAATCTGTTAAATCCATTGACAGTGAAACGGTATTTCATATACGGTTCTTAGAAGAATTATTGTTATTTAAGAGTTAGGAAAACGTACATACAGCATCCACGATGGACTGGACTGCCGAAGCGAAAGGGTTAATTATCGAATTGAAATCATAGGAATATCGTAGACGTTAAAACGCTTCTCGAGTACAAAGGGCTGATAGCGTGTTTCCATCGTGTGATTTTAGTTATACCCGTGATCAAGGAAAAGCCAAAGGTCATAAAGATCGTGAAGAAGAAGACGGTCATTGTAGAGTGCCACGTGCTTTCCAAGTTTACGCCAGATTGTACTTGGTTCAAAGAAACGAAGGCCGTGAAGGAAGACACGAGGCACAAAGTTCACATCGAGCAAGTGAAAGACGTACGTAATAAGCTCTCGCTTGAATAATAACAGAGACGCGAAGCTAATGAAATTTACACCTGCAGGGAGAATTCGCTGTCAAGTTAGAAATCGAGCAAGTATCGGTTTCTGACAAGGGTGTGTACAAGTTAGTGGCTCGAAACGAGAAGGGAGAGGCAACGTCGCAGGTTGTAGAAGTGACGGAGATTATGGAAGAAGGAGAGAAACCGAAGATTAAATCCGGCTTGAAGTCTGCGGTGAGTTTCACAATTGAAATTCTTCCATTTTTCACTGCTATGGAAAAAATTCGACGACTATGCCGCTTCTCTTCGGAGATAGCGCATTCTTTTCGTTAGAAAGGAATCGAAAAATATGAGTAATTTGTTGTATTTTAGACGATCGAGGAGGGTAAATCGATCGAACTTGTCGCTAGCCTCTCGAAACAGGATCGCAAAGTCACCGTTACGTGGTACAGGTAAATACATTATTTTAAACGGTTACCTGAACGTGCTTTTTGCCTAGTCGTTTAAACTTATTGGACTATTTCCGCTTCTGCAGAGATTCCACGGTAGTCAAATCCTCCAAGGACATCATGATATCTTTCAATGGTACAGACATGAAACTGACAATCACGTCTGCCTCCACTTCGTACTCGGGAACATACAAAGTAGTTGTTAGTAACGAATTTGGTCAAGACGAATCGTCGGCGCGACTAGTCGTCAAGGTAAGAAACACGAAATTCGACATTGGTTGGACCTTTGAAAATTAATGATCAAAGATGGCTGGATATTGTTTCTTTCCCCTGTTACAAATTGTGCCCAATGTTTCAAGTTACGTGCAATGTCGCGAGTTTGTTGCACAATATTTGTTTAGATGTACAGAGATCTTTGTTCGAACTTTCTCTCCCCATCCATGAGTAAATTGCGTTCGTTTGCATATTCAATTCACGGTGGTTGAAAACATATATGTCCTTGAATGTTGCATGCAATTCCTTGTACGTATTATAGAAAAAAGAAGAGAAGAAAGAGGAAGAAGAGGAAGAGAAGAAGGAGAAGAAGGTTGAAAAGAAAGAAGAGAAGAAGGAAGAAAAGAAAGAAGAGAAGAAGGAAGAAAAGAAAGAGGAAAAGAAGGTAGAAAAGAAGGAAGAGAAAAAGGAAGAAAAGAAAGAAGAGAAGGTAGCGAATGTTCTTACGATTACACTATTTTTTCATTTAACCTGTCTTTTCCTTTTGTTACGTGTTCGTTCCTCCATTTGCCCGTAATTAGCAGTTATCCCTTGCTACACACTAAGAACACAGACTCACGTAAACACGAAGTAACAGTTGCTTTTGATAAAGTTGAAAGAAACGATGATCGATAACAAAATTATCTTTTCCATTTAATCTATACGATAATTCGGCTCTTTTGAACTGCATCTCGATATTACGGTACAAAAGGTAAAAAGCTCGATCTGGTACGATGACAAAAAAACCGTTCCCGACGAAGAAGAGGAAGAAGAGTACGAGGAGGAGGAGGAGGAGGAGGAGGAGGAGGAAGAAGTGGTGAGTGTAATCGAGTCCAGCACCGCGGAGCCGATTATCGAGGAACCAGACTCGGAAACAATTTCACAAGTAGAGGTACACACATACACGCTACACATATTTACACAGATATACATACAGTTCAGATTATTTTTTTAATCATTGGATATTTTTTCGTATCAACTTTTTTCTAACGTGTCTGATATACAAGGTGTTCCATGGTTTTTCCACTCGAACTTTGTGCATGTATTCTACGAATATAAATAGGAAAATAACGTTATTCAAACATAGATTATCAAAATCGAAGGGTAATCGAAACAAATTTTGTGAAATAGTAAAATTCATTTTCTACTATCTTAAATAAAACTTCGAAGGATCTACGTTTATGTAACGTCGGTTTTTCGTTTATGCTCATAGAATATAAAGCGGACGAGGTGAAAACCTTAGACCACCCGGTATAATTATATTCTTCTATACTCTTTAAGGACGATTTTTGTTAAAACTTTAAAAGATTGATCAAGATGTTTCTTTTTTAATTATTTTCAAGGATATACCCGACAACAGACAGAACGGTATCGACAAACCCAAGAAGGTATGAATAATTTTTTTTTTTTCATTTTTCACACAAAAGTGGATATCATATTTTTCGTAAAGTGACTTTTTTTTTGAAGCAAAACCTTTTTACTTTACACGGTACACATCTAGAAATACAAACTGCAGCGTCATTTTACCTTTTGCGCCCACCCTTTATGGTTCCTTGTAGTGGTTATATTTGTATGAATGCTTTGTGTTCCCCTGTTTTAACTACATACATATGTTTATGTTATGAGAAACTTGTTTATACAGTCCAGGTTCCTAATCCGTGGGTCGCCCCACCTTTGGGGATTAGAATTATGTTGTAGAAGTTAGAATTATTCTGAAATATATTTATTATTATTATTTACTTTATTAAAAATGTTTCTCGATTAGCATATTATTCAGAAAGTTATTTGGCTATGATAAAAAGGGATTGCGACTCAAAAATGCCTGGGAAATATCTGTATACAATTTCGTTGACAAGATATTAAACACAATCGTTTATTTGTCTGTTTCAGAAACTGGAAGTTCTACAGGTGAGGAATGAGTGTCAAATATTTTATTTGGACAAAGTATGCGCTCGAATTATCGAATCGGCTTTCCAATTGCATTGCAAGAACAGTATTGCGAACAATTATTACATGCGGCTTTTATGCGTACGCTTATAGATTCGATCCAATCGATCCAAAGGGATGAAAGGCATGCTTCTAACGATAAAAATTATTTTCAGCTTTTTGCGAATTAAATGCATTCCTTTTCAGCTTTTACGATATTAACTGCTTCTTTCAGCTTCACACACTTTTTCAGCTTTTACTGATAAACCTTGATATGTTTCAGCTTTTATTATTTCTGATCCTATTTGCATCAAGTTATTTCTATTGTTACTTTAAGATCGTTTCTATTCCAGCAAAATTATCTGAAATCATTTAATCATTATGCAACACATATCTCATCTTTCTTCGCATATAATCTAATGCTTAAGCTTTCAGCAAACTTTCTTTACCCTTATCCTAGAAGCTGGGCTTTGAAATTTTCCTAAAAAAGGCTATAACTTGTAATTTGTCCTACTTTCCTGTTTCTCTCTTTCGCTCTATTTCTATTCTTTCGCATGCATGTCTGTGTTTTGTGTAATTTGATTTTCATGTGTACATTTTAGTGACATACGAGTAAACTTATTCGCGAGAGTGTATGATATACGTCAAACGTGTGTATAATTATCGTAAAGGTAGGAATGTTACATTATTCAATTCATAAGGATCGATAAACGAGTTGATAACAATTTACTTTTGTATAGAAGAAACCAGAAGAGAAAGTCGAAGAAAAGAAGGAAGTTGAAAAGGTAATATTTTCGACATGAATTTTAAGATATTTACTCGTTAGATCAAAACGTAGAGAAATAAATTAAACGAATTTGTGTTTACAGAAAAAGATTGTGAAGAAAGCAGAAGAAAAGAAGGAGGTAAGGATGGTTCTGTCTTTTCAATTTACTATGCTTATTCAAATCTTCACGTACTTATTCCTATTATTATTTGGTTTTTCTTATTCCAGGAACTTAAAGCAGAAAAAACGGTATCTCGCAAGCAGTCTATTAGTAGAGTGAGTAGCAATTGTTTATCAATTAAATTTATATAATTTTTTCATACAGAATTTTTACATACATATAACTTTTTGCGTAGAATTTTTCATATATAAAATATTATTATATAGGCATAAAGAAGCTAACACTGATTTATCCTTTTTCCTAATTTTTTAACAGGTAGAAGAAATACGAACAGAAAGTCGAAGAAGTTCTTTGGTAGCAACAGAAGAAAAGGTTAAACATTATTTTGTATTTACCCTTTAATGAGTGTATAGAACAGTATGAGCAGATGCTAAATCGCTTAACTGTAGAAACCCAATAGCTCTCTTACGTTTTTATTTATTTTGTTACTTTTAATACGCAGATGTTCGAAGACGGCCGCATAATACCGCGTCGCTTATCTATGCAAAAGGTACAAGAGTACAGAATAATTAAATCCAAACTACGTAATGCTAATTCGCAAATGCCACTTATCACGGCTAAACTAATATTCTATTATAAACTAAAATTCTTTCGTTCTTACATTAATTTAGCTTTTCCTTTTTTTTCATGCGCGAACAGATGGAAGCAGAGGTCATGTCAGAAAGCAGGCGATCTTCCATCGTTGAAAAGAAGGTGACGACAGAAAAGGTAAAAGATCAGTTTTCGTTTTTTCCTTTTTGTTCCCTTCTTTCCGTTTCTTTTTGTTTAGAATTAAAATTTTAATCACTCCCTTGTCAGTTCTTCTTATTAACGTCGTAATTAATGTTCGTAAAGAGTTACTTTGTGTAAACTTAAAAGAATTTCGTCTCACGAATAGAAACAGTAAGTATCGTGTGTGAGTCCGACCTTCTTGCAAATGACTCAAGAAGGCTGATAATACCTAATATCAAATATTTGTGTGACGTGTACGTATTTAAGTAATCGTTGCATTCGATAAAAAAATATAACACGTTACGATACGTTATGTATCATATTCGATTACAATTTCTAAGTAATTAGTAGCATGAACTTTTAGAAAAAACGTAAGATGAGGCGCGTTCACTTAACGTAGTACGTAAACCGAGTAGTCGTTGTCAACGACAGCTGCGACTCACAGCGTGTTACTTATGGCATAGATCTATTTCACTGACACGCTATCCAGCAAGGGTAACTTCTATTTCAATGTTGAGCTTTTGATAGGATTTCTGTCCTTGAACTACATCCTCGATACGATCTGCCAAACAAACGAAACGATTCTTTTCCAGCAAAAAAATATAATTTACCAATTTTTAATTTTTTTTTTTTATTATTTTGGACTTTTAGGCAGATAGAGAGACCCCGAAGTTTAGACCTACGCTAACACCAACACAACACGTAAAGGTACACAAAACACTAAATATACACACTACAGATTCGCGAGAATGTAAAACATAGAATTTGTTGGAAATTAAAATATACATACTGACATTATAGATCGCACCGAGAGATAGTATTAGATATTACGAGCCCGAGCCTGACGATGATATCGAGGTAAACGATTCTTTAAAAAAACATGATTTGATATTACAATGAAAGACGCACATGCTCATGACAAATCGTGTTTATAGGATATTTGGGCTTCAGTGCCAAGAGAGCCGGAAATAAGATCCATTAGAAAAAGTGAGGTACGCGAATACATAAAAATTTGCAATTTTCCTGTTATAGAACGACTGATTAATATACCAATATTAAATCCAATTATAGGACACGCTAAATGTAAAATATTCGTCACTCGTCACACGCGAATTCCCTGAAAAACCAAGCATCGAGGTAGATATCTTTGTTTATCGGCATTAAGCGTGACAGAATTTTTTTATATTTTTTATCGTGCAAAATTGTTTGTAGGAACGATCACAGCCAGATTATATTAAATATAAAATTCCTGAGGAATCTAACGTCAAGGTAGATACCTTTTTATCAGCATTTTTTTATATTCTTTTATCGTGCAAAATTGTTTGTAGGAAAAATCACGACCGGAGCATACCGAACGCGACGAATTACCAGTTCGTAAATACGAGGTACAGAATGCATGAATTCGACTTTTTTTTTCTTAATCAGTACCTTCAGTCAATTGGTGATTACTTATAAAAATACAATTTTAGGATGTTCCAAAGTCATTACACGAGTCTGCACCACGAACCCATAGTACTAGTAAAGATACAATACACGAGGTATAACACTATACTTTATACGACTAAACTTTTTACATTTTACGTTTTCATTCGCATCGACAGAAAAAACGAGAAAGATTGTGAACATTAAACGAAAACAATTTTAGGTTTCCACCGATCCACGACCAAGCATACCTGAAAGGAAATTAATTAGAAACATCGAGGTAGAACTTTGCTATTAATTCTTTCCTTGCGTACGATTACCGTTCTTTTGATACAACTTTTGTTTCGTTATAGGATGAGTCACAGCCTAAAATTAATGTGCCATTCAAAGAATCGAATGACGAAGCAGAGGTAGTCACTTTTTTTTTACAATACAGTAGAGCCTCGAAGACAAAAATTTCACAGTATCCATTCTTCATAGTATAACAATGGTATTTGTAACAGAATTAATCAAAGAAATTTGGTGCTAAATTCTGTTGGAATACGAGAGGCTTTACTGTACATCGCATTGCATAGAGAAAGTATAGATATTAATAGATAAGCAAATTTCAGGATGCTTGGCCAGATAGACCAGGTGATTTTGAAATTGAACCCATTAAGAAAGTTAAGGTACACGAGCGCATATAGATTGTAATATTCAGTACCACGTTTTTAATTCACTACTTTTTATTTTATTTTGTTTCGTATGCGCATTTACAGGATATGCCAAAGATTACATCTAAACCGACTATACAAGAGCCAAATAATGAAATAGAGGTAGTTTTCTTTTTTCTTTTTCTTTTTCCTTCTCTTTCATCTTCTCTTCGTTTTCTCTTTTTTCTTTCTCTCTCATTTTTGACCTACACTATTCAAAATTTACCCGAATATATACGCATGATCGAATACACGATTTGTAGGACATCTGGGCAGACAGACCACAAGAACCAGAAATTAAATCAATTTGGAGAAAGGTACATGATTCGTTTGATTAAAATTTCGATGATGAAAAATTGTCGTTCGGTATGAACGAATTATAAACGAATAACATTTTAGGTGCCAGAAAAGACTAGCATAGATTTATCACGGACACAGCACACAGTACCCGAGGTACATACGCACTACACAAATAATCAGAACGAAATTGTAACATACAAAAATTGTTTTTTTAATATATTTTTTTATTTTATTGTTCTTTTTAATACGTATTAACCGACCATGTTTTAGGACACTTGGAAAACAAATTTAAATGAAACAAATGACAAACCCGATACACTGAAAGATAAATCGGAAACGCCTTCGATCGAATCGATTGACAATATAGAGGTAGAATAGCATCGATACTCTTCTGTCTCTCAACACTTGAAAACTAAAGTGAAACATACATTTTTTTTCTTTTTTTTTCTTTTAGGAGAAAGTTAAACCGAAATTAAAAACAACCCGTAAAAAAGTCACGACGGACAAGGTACATAATACGATATACGACATATATATATATATGTAAATTCTATGGAATTTAGATTTCTAAAAATATTACAACATTGCATATATATTATACATGCACGCACGCTATCGTTCAATAAATATACGCTATGATGATTCAAAAGAATAAAATTATTGTACTCTGATTCATTCGTAATTTTGTAACCGAAATACATCTCGTTGAAAATCAGCAAAGGTCTGGATATTTTTGAACGCTAGCGCATATACATACACATACACACGCACACCTACATGCATATCACGTATCATTGCCACAACGACGAATAATTTAATAGGAAGAAACTGCAATTAATTTTGATCATTTTAGAAAGAGGAAGCGAAACCAAAATCTACCTCTCGCAAACTTGACGAAGCGAGCAAGGTACCAGCATTTTTTTATTATTATTTTTCAACAATTTGATTAATCCAGCACGCGACTCGTATATTTATAATTTTTGTTTCTTCGTTTGCAATTTTAGAAAAAAGTACCGCTCACACGACGTAGGTCATCGACAAAGTCAACAGAGGGGTCTAAGGTACAGGGAATAAAGAACTCAATAGTTTACAATATCTCACGAGTTTGTTACGGTTCTTCTATTTGTTTATTTTTTATTCTTTATCTGTTGTATATTTCATTCATTCGTACGAATGTTATTCAGGACGAAGAACCTACGTTAGATTCTATACAAAAGGACAGTATTTCCAACGGGACGAAGGTATATAAATGTATTTCCTAATTAGAAAGCGTTACTCTTGAAAAATATCAAAAATATCGAGTATTAGCCGTTGCTTGCATTAACGCGAGTGTACTAACGAACAGCGAATAAATCTGATCGTTTCTATACTTTTTTAGAAGCAGGAAGCCGTCACAAAAGCTAAAATCGTTGGAAAGGAAGAAAAGAAGGTACAAAATGAACACGCAATTTTACCGTACACACAGTTTACATATCGTATATACGTCATCATACACGATACGTATCGATTGAATCATATTCAAATACTTTAAGTTCACGTCCATTAATTTTAGGAGGAACTCAAACCCACACCCAAAGTAGAAGAACCCAAGGTACATAAAACCTATACGACATACATACACTATTTATCGATGTTCGCCTCACAAATACCTCACACGATACGATTGATTTTTAGAAAACAGAGCCACCCAAAGCAAAGGTCACTCTCGGTAAACCCGAGGAGACTAAGGTACACAAATCGCATACTTTTTGCCTAGACGTAGACGCGATATCTTTTTTTTTTTTTGAACGATTCCATTATCGAGATTATTAACTTTTAGAAAGAGGAACCCGTCGAAACGCAAACGAAACCCAAAACACCCGCTGGTAAACCCGAAGAGGCGAAGGTACACAACACCACGTTAAAAGTCATTCCTTTCGCGTAGACAGATTTTTTTTTCTTTTAAGTATTCCTGGCACTATCCTTGACATACTTACTCTTTTTAGAAGGAGGAACCTGCTGTGAAACCTAAGGCCACACTTGGTAAACCCGAGGAGGCTAAGGTACACGAGATCGTTTTTTACTTGAATATAGAAATTGTTTTTTTTTTTTTGCTTAGATGCACAATTTTTTCACGCGTTACACTCTCTTTATATAAACACGGATAGTCACGCAACTGCATTTTCTATATAGAAGAAATTTGTTTGTATACACAATTTTTCTTAGTTTTCCCAACACTATCCTTCACATATTTACTCTTTTTAGAAGGAGGAACCTGCTGCGAAACCTAAGGCCACACTTGGTAAACCCGAGGAGGCTAAGGTACATGAGATCGTTTTTTGCTTGAATACGAGACTTTCTTTTTTTCTTCTTTTGCTTAGATACCAAATCTCGTTACGCGTTATCTTTTTTTTTATACGAACACGAATAGTCACGTGATTGCATTTTTTTTAGAAGGAAGAACCTGCCATGAAACCTAAAACCACGCTTGGTAAACCCGAACTACCAAAGGTACACAAAGTCAATCTATCGCGTTTGTATAGCGATACTGTTCGCGAACATATTCACACGAACACGAGCTGAGAGAACGCACCACAACACAATTCACGTTTGCCCGTAAACTGACACGACACTTTTAATTACTGCACGGCACAAATTGCATTTTTTCGCACAAGTGTGTATCATCACATAACTTTCTTCGCATCAACTTTTCATCTTACGGACACGTGTAACTACAACACGTACAGGGTTTATTCGCACAGGCGTGTGTATCGCGTAACTTCTTTACATTCAATTTTTCATCTCACGAACTAAATTTATTTAATTTAATTTAATTAATTTATTTTTAATCTTTTCAGCAAAGATTAAATCGAACCATCATACTAAGTAACATATTCATACTCTTTTCAGCAATCTGTGAGAACGAATATCACCGTAACAAGAAATATAACAATTCATCGAATCATGATTTTTTACAAATTATCGCTGGCAAAATCTCGTGAAGTTATCCCCTGGAATGACTTTTTGTTTTGTATTTTCACAGGTAGAGGAACCGCTCAGAAAAGTCAGCCTGAAACCTACGACAAAGGTAGATATATGTATAAGTATACAAATATCTGTGTTATCTTGATACATTCGCTCGTATCGTACGAAAACGATATAAAAATTATTACTTACATCTTACGATAGATATCAATGAATTAAGCAAAAACTCAAAACCTTGATCTTTCTCGTTCGCTAATTTAATTCTTAACTTTCTTAAATTACAGATCGAGGAGGAAGCAAAGACGTTGAACAAAGTAGAACTGAAGGTGTGTATCTTCTTTTTCCCGTGAATTGCTCGTAATTGATAGATGAACTTTTACCGTTTCGCGGTGCTTATTTACGAGGCGAAACTTCGTTATATTCGGATTGGTATTTGTAAATTCTCGTTGGAAATTGTTTGGAATAAACGATACGTTAAATGCAGCCAGTGGAACCCAAGACGAACGTGGAGAAATTCGGACTGCGTAAACCACCGAAATACGAAATTAAAGCCGAGAACTTTCAATCTATTCAACTTAAACCGGTTTCGAGGGAGCCAAAAGTACCTCAAAAACCTGAGAATGGCGTTATCGTTGAGTTGAAGGTATTCCCGTGAATGGGAATCTAAATATACGTACACTATACTCTTTTTTTTCTCTCTCTTTCTCTCTCTCTCTCTTCTCTATGCATTGACATTTACATAATATTTCAAATTTACATAATATGTATATACACTGGCTGTTTACTTATTCTTCGAATCTACGATCGTTCTAAGTACTTTCGCTGTTACTATGAAAAATTCTTTTTCACACTCTGGACGATTCTTTCCACTTATTAATTCCACTCATTAAATTTCACAATCTCGATTATTCGATATGTCCCTTCTCTTACTGCGGTACTGTTTCCTCCAATTTTCGACAACTTTCTACGCTTAGTCTCTTCTTTCGATGTTGATAACAACGACACAAAGTATAAGGTACTGTGCATAATTCGAAGACTCTCTCTTCTCTCTTTTCTCACTTTCTCAATTCTTGAAAGCTCGGTGAATCGTTAACAAACCGATTAATTCAATCTATACGAATATTATTATTAATATAATAACAATCTTCAAGGTATCTCGGCTATTTGGCTGTACAAAACGTTTGCTCCTCGACTCGAATTCTCTATGCTGAAATCGATGTTCTATCTGTCGCTCTTTGTTCTATCGAACGGCTTCAATGTACAAAGATCACGAGGGAAGACCACGATAACTTACGTTTTCTCGCTTCGCACGAGTAATTTTAAAATTCAATATACTCCATCGTTAACTTGCCCTTCGTTTCTAAATGTTCAGTGGTTTCATAGCCATGAGTTAGTATATTATAACAGCGAGAAAGTAGCGAGAATAGCGATAACAATCAGAAAATCAACAGACTTATCGTGTTTTCCCGAGTGATTTTCATCGACGAAATCGTCCACGCTAGAAATTAATCGGAAACCATTCGTGCAGAAAACTGAGAAGACGGAAAAGATGGAAGCTAAGAAGACGAAAGTGAGAAAAGCCAGCAAGGACAAGGATTACGAGCTTCCGGAGATTCCAGATTACGAGCGACCGGTTTTGGAGAAGCCGCAAGAATTCGAATTCGGGGAGTACGCGCCTCGAGATAAGACCAAGTTGGACAGACCAACCACGCAGGTAAGAGAAACGTTGCCCTCATTTTTCATTCTGTTGCGTTAAATCGATCAAGTATGTTTACTTTGTATCGATAATTAATTTAATAAGATCAAACGTCGTTCATTCCACTACTAATGATTTTTCTTTTCACGCGGCGGGCAGAAGTTCGATTCCAAGGTGAGTAATGGCTCGTTATTAATGCAAGAATAAGAAAACGATTTTGCCAAGCTGCTTCGCTTTACTTCAGGAATGACAAGAGTTTTGCAACGTCGCGCCTAAGTACGATCGATCGAGATTCCTGGAATTCCGTAAGCTCGATTACAAATTGCAGAGTTAAAGTTGGAAATCAGGGAGCGATTAACTCAGAGAAACGGTCGAGCACTTTTTTCTCGCCAGTTCGTCTATTCGTCTAATATTAATCGGCGTTTAGCGGACGCTACGCTCAGGGTCGTAGACGATACGGTGACACGGAATCCTTGCTGGCGGATTAGCAAGTGGTCTCGGTCGTGGTTTGCCGTGGATAAAAGATCGCTGACGCAAATAGCCCGGTAATCCTGGTTCGATCTTCTTTCAAACGTAATTAACGCAACGCGCCTCTATGCTAGCGCTAATAATCGAACGAATAAAATGATCGTTTGGCAACCGATGGGTCCCGTGTCCACCACCACCCTGCATCCGGATACCCGCGAAAGAGGGGGAACTATTTTGGCAAATAACCGCTCGTATATCACCCCCCTCGGATCTCTAATTTTTCGACTTGAAAATTAGGATGGAGAAAATGTCGATCGCTATTTTCGGTGTTATTGCGACCCGTTTGTGCCCGACCGTATCTCTTCGCTATGATTTCTCGCGGCAGGCCGGTCAGTCTCGATTCAGTCTTGATCTCAGCACGATCGTGATCGCGATCGCGTTCTAGGAGCCGTCGACGATCAAGTTTCATCGGTTCTCGATCCTTCGGTAAATCCGATAGACGTGCTTTCATGCATTGTTTCAGTTTCTCCGGATCTTTAGGAGAGACGTTAACTGAAGAAAGTTCTGGTGTTTTTTCTCTCGTTCATTGCGAATCACTACGTTCTCCGCATACTGTTACTGCAAATATTGTACCTACTTTGCTCGTAGACAATTGAAGAAGCTGTTGTAAAATAACGTCGCAGACGATATTAGCGAAGCACAAAAGCATTCTACTTGTACAAGACGATGCGAGATTGTCGTGTCCGCACGTGTGATCTCTGAGAAAATACAAACGCTAGGACGGAAATGTCGGGCGATCGCTTATCTTTTAAATTTGCGCTCAGCAAACGCACCGACTGTGAAAACGGCGTTGCAAAAGTTCTTCAATTCCGTAGACTATAATTTTGATAAACGTGGCATTTATAAAGCTTGCTTCATCAATAAATTACCTTCTTTCTACGTTGCTTACGCGTTTCTCTTTCAACGTTTAATAACGCCAAAACTTTCTTGATTACCCGATATATGCGGATTCTTCTACGAACGAGTATCGTTAGGCCGCGAATTCGCTTCAGCTATCGCTTACTTTCTCAAATTCGAAATACGACGCAGTCGGGATTGATAATTGGTTTTCTCGCGTACTTAGCCAAAGGTGCCAGAGATCAAAGCACCCGAAGCACCGAAGATCGAAGTTATCAAAGACGTAACGCCGGTTGGAAGCAGAAGGAGTTCCCTGATACCCGGCAGCGGCACAACCAGTCGACGGGGATCCTTGATACCACCCGAAGAATTGGGTCGCAGACCCAGTTTGATTATCAGTGACGAGGTATGTTACGGATTGTGTTTATCCGCGAGGTATATCGGTTACGCTTTTGGACTATCGAGTGAACAGCTGCGATGGTATCGTTTACGATGATCCGCGTACCATCCAACCAGTTTGCTAACTTTCGCGATTACGTGAAATTTCATTCTATATCGGACTAGTCGACTGTTTTACTATTCGCCTATCTCTCCGTCTCTTTCACAACCCTCAACACGCAGCTATACGAAATTCTTGACTGTCTCGTTCGATTATTCGATCATTCGCGCAACTTTGGATTTTTTCGATAGCCTTCGAGACTACCATAATTTCTATTGTTCCATTTGACCATTCGTCTATTTGTCATTATCGTTGTCATTTGTTTCATACTCCTCTTGCTTTGCGACTAAAGGGCGACTTCCAGTTGTCTCCTACACCTTAAGCTAATTTTATATCTAAACGCGATTCCTACAAGACGATGGTACAATTTTCTTAACGAAAACCGAAAGGGTAAAAGACTATTCGACTATTCAGCCATCCAACCGTTCGATTGTTCGCTTATTCGATCGTTTTGATCGCCGTTAAAATCGGTACCATCGCAGCCAGTCCGCCTCGAAAAGCGATTTGCTCCGGAACGTGTTCGTCTGGACGACGAAAGATCGAAGCTTTTAGATCGGTAACGAATTTGATCGTAAAACTCGTTAATCAACGTCTTTTTGTCAGATTGCCAAGCAATGTTCTTAATAGCCCGTGATATTTAATACCTTTCCAGAAATAGACGCGTTCGAGCCTATTTTTGTTCAATTACTCATTACTAATTTTTGATTCGCGACTGACTGGGCGTGTCCAACGTCTAAAATCGGTGATACGTACATCATAAACGACGACAGATTAACGTATCAAAGGATTCGAATAATACGCGCAATGCGATCACTCGATTTCGTTGCTGCTGGTGACGAAAAGTAACGTTTTAACGGAGCAAATCGACGGATCGTTCGAGGGGAACGCTCGTAGGTTACTCGTACTCTCAATTTTTCTTTCGATTCGTACGAACGATCGATTGAACACACGAAATTTCTACTGTTGACTGAACAAAGTCGCTTATCCTTAGACTGTTGGCTAAACGTAGTATCTTTTTCTTTTTTTTTTCTTTTTTCTTTTCTTTTCATTTTTTTTTCTTGTAAAATTGAGAGTTTGAGTAACCAGAAAAAGACGAAACATGAAGATTCTAAACTATAGAAAACGTTAGCTCGTGTACAGAACTAGATAAAAGCGTAGGTAGATCAGTGGCTACTGCTGGTTAGCCCTAGAATTGTTGGAGTTTTTTTGCAGTTTCGTAGCAACGTCAGTGATTTAGTGATCCCAATCGTGATAGTCTTAGAGCTAGATGTCCAATCACGTGAACCCCCGACGTGTTTGTCTGACGATACGAAATTACGTGTCGGGTGTGTACGTTGATATTAGTGTCAGCAAAGCTAGTAAAGCAATCCTACTCGTGAATCGTCCAAACAGCCCAGCTTCTGAAAAACCACTTTCCCCTTACCATAATACCCTTCTCGTCTTTCGCGAGATATCTTAGCTACGAGTCTTCGATGCAGCGTGGAAAGTAAGCGGATCAAGGAACCACATGCAAGCAAAATGAATCTTTGAAGGATAAAATGAAAGTCGTCCTCGTCGCACCAGACGAGTTTATCTCTAACTATCGTCCATAAGTATTTGGACACCCGATATAATTTGATCGGATCTTTCATATCTTTATCATATCTTCGATATCGTCGCGATGGAAGAACCGAGCCGCTAATTCTTTGCCTCTTCGCGTAACTAGCTTCGTCTCTGCGCGTTAATTAAATGTTTAAAGCGAAGCGATACAGTTGGCAAGCTTCGTAAAATTCGTACAAAGTTTTCGAATCTTTATTCGAATTAATATAAACTATCGTTTTCATCGATGTTCGTTAACTGTGCGAGTATACGGTTGCACGAGACAAGAGGAAAAATCGGGATTAAATCGAGGCTCGTTTCAAGCGTATTTGACGTATTTGCGATAGTTGGGAAGTGACCAGATAGTTATGGATGGTAATGCACACGTGCATGGATGTGCGTGCGTATAAGTGCGTACACGTACAGCGACTTTCGAAACGATACAGATTAGTAAAGAAGAGTTTGATTCATAGGAGAATAGAAAGCTGCGACCAGGCGAGGTGGTGGACGAGCGCAAGGTGAGGAAAATCACTGGAAATGGGAAAGCGAATGCCTCGTCTGCAACCTTACTCGACTACCAATGCACTTATTTCACTTTCACTTGTTCTTTTACTCGCACGTTACTTCTTTTACAAACACACACCTATTGGAACGTTGAACGAAGAGCGCGTCTGCCGAAAGCACAGTTCCTCTACTCGTTCGTCTCTTCGTTCGACTTTGCCTGCTCATTTCTCATCTTCTATCGCCAATTTATTTTACTTACTTGATATGTCATTTTCAATGATCTCGCGCCCGAAAAATCTTCCTTCTTTCTCTTGCGTCTTTTCCTCTCGAGATCTCGAGTGTTAACGTTCGAACAATTCGACACGAGAAGATTTGGAAATTTGGCGCGGGATCGTTCGTACGAGCACAGGTTCCATCGAGACGCATCGATTCGAGAAAACCTCGGCTCCATTCTCTTCTATAAATTAATAATTATTGACGTGGAAGTATGCACCAATTGCACTATTGCACCAACGCACCACTGCACCTGGCACGGATATGTTGCAATCGAATCTCTCAGCACTCTACACTCCACGATTATTTATTACTTTAATATTAATATCGTTAATCGTAAGGATGTTAATAATTATAATAATAATAATAGCAATGATAATAATCATAACAGCAACAACAACAACAGTCGCAAGGATAACAACGAAAGAATCATCCGAGGCGTGTCTGGCGCGAAACGGACGTTTCAACGATCTTAAATCATTGGTGTATAAACTTTCGTATTCCCGTTCGCGTATATTACAAATCGTAGATTACATTTTGGCAAACATCGTTCCGAAAGGACAGGCGTCGGCGTTAACAAATGCCCAGGCTAGCGACAAACATCCACGACGCATGAAACCTGGTTACTTTCGAACGTATACCACTTCACCCTTACCTACGTACGTGTATATATCATTTACTCGCAGTAGGAATGCGTTCTAAGCAGTCGCAACACTTGTTACCTTGCTGCCAACGGTCGGGTAAAACTATCAATTTGCCGGACACGAAGGACGACCGTGATTTATGTCTCTGTACATTTAATACTTGCCATCGATTAATCAAACGCGTCCGCGATCCAACCAGTGCTTTATCGTTATTTCTAGCCGAGTCTCGCGGACACGCCACGGATTCTCAGACCGATTTTCTCGGATCGTGGCCGTTCGAATCATCGACGATGATAACGGTCAACGAGGCTGCGAACAAGCGAGAAACTCGATCGCCGCACACTCCCCAATGTCTCTTTCTAGAGCGTGATAAATCACTGTCGTGGCAAATAGACGTTGAACTTTACTTAATGCGAAACTGCGTAAGTCCGTCTTTGATTTAACGGCACTTGCGTTGGCTGACGTACACCGCTCACTTCTACCAAAACGGAATCTAGCACCGCCGATGTGTTGTGAATTAATTGGCCAGGTGTCGTTAAGAAGAATATCCGTCGAATAACTTCGGCAACCTTGTATTCGTCTGTCGCTAGTTTACCTTCACCTCTTTGTATCATCCTCTATTTAAATTCTCTTTTCCCTTCGACATTTTCCCCAAGTTTTTGGACGTCGTGTATTTTTCTCTTTGTTTTTGTATTTTGTTACCTCGAACTTGCGATTCGAAGGACATCTCGCTGCCAAAGATTTGCCCACGTTGCCCGTCTCCGTTTTGTCTACGACGTATTTGGATACAGTATGCGATAACAAAGGATATCGGAAGACATCGCGCGACTAACCGATGTACACGCACAATGCTCACGATGGTCTCTATAATTTTTTGCAGTTGGGAAAGTTACGTCCCGGCGAGGTGCTTGAAGCTAAGGTGAGATTTGTGTTCGCTATAACACAAAGCTTACCTGCCCGAATAGCATTACCTGCCAGATCTTTCTCTATATGTTTCTCACTTCTACGACTTCGATTTTTTTTTTTGCTCTCACTACTTTCATACATCTCTTTTTTTTTTTTTGTAAATCTATTTTTGTCAACCGCTCACACCTGACCCAGCCACGATGGATTTGAATTGGATTCCCTCGAGTACAGCTATACTATTTATCAAAGAGCAGTTTAACAACGACAAGCTATAAAACCACAAGCCGAATGTTGAATTGCCAGGCGCAGGACACGCAGAAAATGCCGCATACCACCATGGAACGCCGATAATATTAATTTTCCGACTATACCACCCTTTTTTTAGTTAAATTTTTTGAAGCTGTCGCCGCTGCTGTCCACTCCCCGCTATCTCTACCATCGAGGCCCGTTTCTACGTGTTCGAGAGAGTACACTGGCAATCAGACGTAAATCCGTCTTATTTTCTCCGATAAGAATCTCCCTGTCAGACGTCTCGAATCCCCCGCCCCCTTCTGACTTTGTCACCCAAATGATTTTTCTCTGTTTTTTACTTTCTACTTTTTTTTTTCCATTTTTCACGCACCACGTACAGAATAAATCCGGCCGTCCTGGTGAACTGCAGGGGAAAGAGGTTAGCTCATATTACTGTCTTTCAAATTACAGAACGCGTTGTATCCAACATATGTCTGTTTCTTTTTCTTCTTTTTTTTTTCATCTCTCTTTTTTTTTCATTTTTGATGCGTGCCGCAAAGCTCCGAATTGTTCGCAATGCGCGTCTGTACATAGTTTTTGCAAGAACCGCTCAACGGACGTTTCCCAGCGAGTAAACGCGCCTCTCGTGCCTAGTCGACGATAAATTTCGCGCGTCTATCTTTGTTTATTTATTTTACGGATAATTTTGTCTTGCTCGTCTAGTACTTGCTCGTCGACTAAACACGGTATATTTGCAGTCGAAACGTCCCGCAGCTATGTAGTATAAACGTTTGCTTAATTCGAGCGAATACTATGTATATTGAGAACGTAGAAATTAGATAGTGGTAAGAAATATTTATTTCACTCGATGTTTCCATCCATAGCAATATATATTTGTTTCTTTTTTTATGTACAAATTTACGCATCTATTTTTCGTGTTTAAAGTAGTATCGGTCGTTCGGTGTCAAACAAGCCGCAGTAGCGTAAGTACGGTTTAGTCGGACAACGTTGCTCAACTTTCACGTTGAAGACTTCGATTTATCCGTGATTTTTATGCTGCTACGACCTGTTTGAGACGCAACCCTGCTGCGTTCTTTTCGATTCAAGCGTTCAAACCTCTTTCTTTAACAGAATACGAGAAAATTCCTCTTTTTGTCCATCGTTTCTTCTTATATTAGATCATCCGAAAAGTTTCTTTCGTTTTATAAGGAAATAATGGATATTTTTCGTTTTATATTATTTTACCAAATTACGTACGATCCATTTTGTTTTATCAATTATTTATCAAGATAAGGATTACAACGTTCGACAGATTAGGTTTCACTTTTGTACGAGAATGCGTCTGTAAAAGAAAGACACTTTTCGGACAACTTAATAATTTCACGTCGAACGTTTTCCTAGAACTCGTTGAACTGACAGCAACATCGAGATACAGTTGATAGTCGAAGATCGCAGCACGGTTGATATACATATGTATAAGTTAAAACCGAGTATTGCTTGTTATGAAAATGTGATACGAATGCTAATCTCTCGCGAACAAGAGTAGTATACATGTAATTATTCACCGTGCTCTCACCATGCTATGTGTTAGCGATCGATTCTGTTATAACCATAGGTACGACGTTCATTTGTTTATTAATTTGTTTATTCACCAATCGCGAATATTATGTGTTTTATTTTTTATGTGTATCGTCGTACCCGTGCATATTGTACTATTCGATGTGCCTTTTCGTAAATAATCCACATAGAGGAATGCGGTAATGGAATCGCGATAGTGTAACTAAACAACGAAAAAGGTGGTAAAACTGTGTCGATAGTGATTCCTCCTTCTTTTCCTTTCCCCTTCCTCTTCGTCTTCTCAGTTCGTTTTAGAAATTGTCAACTGTGTGTGTCTCTCTCTCTGTCTCTCTCTCTCTCGCTCACGCTCTCTCTGTTTTTCGTCACAATCCATTGTATTTCTCCATCTCATCGATTGTGTTCCTATATATGTCTTATTAACCATGCCTTCGTGTATAGCAATTGTATCTAACAGCGATGGCGTGACGACGACCGAGAAATTTCGTAAGCGTCACGAAAGTTCCACTTGCGCATCGAGTACCCTCCGAATGAAACAGCGATGCAAATAAAAGATTCACGGTTGAAGCTTGAACGCTCTGTGATTTAACGAACACTTATAATCCCAGTGAAAGAGCACATTTTTTATTTGCACGCATCATCGTTACATGGTTCTAGTTGTGCAAAACGCATCGATCGATAGTTCAGCTTATACCATATCGATGGTATAATTTATAAAAGATTCGTCGCCATCGTGTAGAAAAACGTACACGTTAAAAAACGTAGAGAATTTTTACGATTAGCGTATGAGAAGAATGTATTGTCGATCGACGCAACGAACAATAGCTACCGAGTTTTTATGCGTACTTACTTATTGTTTCGCAGCGAAGCTCTTCTCACGTATTAAGACACGAGATTCTTCGTACTGAGTCTTAATCTCGTAGCGCTAGGTTTAACCTTGTGACTGATCTCAACTGGTGAAAATTGCGCGCCGAATTCTCATCGATTCGGCATCGACGAAGCAAAACATCCCCTCCACGTAACTCGGAAACCTTTCATTTATATGTATCCTATGTGTACCCTGTACATTCTGATCACAAATCATTCTGGTTCTCTTCGCCATTCATTGTATCGTATTGTAACAAGGAGCTGTGGAACCAGAATGGAAAAGCATACAAACGTACATATGTAAAATCTCTCCTTCTCCTGCGTATACTCGAGGATTCTGCTCGAGGTATTCGAGTAAAGAAATTCCTTTGCATCGATCGAGCCAAAAAGTAGATCAGTTCGAATGATCGGTAAACGCCTCTTGGAGAACCCTCGAATTTACTTTAGCTAACGAGTACGTTAAACCCTCAGGAGTACCCGAACGTGGTCAGACACATTCTTTGTACACGGCAGACCGATTAACGAAGATTTTTCATCATAAGAGACTGTGAAAGTATAGAAACGCGAACGATGCATACATTATGATATTTCGCCGACGAAACAAATTTCCGTTTCACCGTTTAATCGCGTTTCCAACGATATGAACCTGTACAAAACTGACCTCGTTTTACGGCTCCGATTTACTTGCACTAATATTGTGAATAACAGTTAACGATAACGCTTTGTACTAATTACGTAGGTTAACGGTGTGACTAAAATGCATGATTAATAATTAGCACCACGCACACAGCATGAGAGCACCGAGCTTCGAACGAGTCGTGACTTTCGTCCGAGTCACGGTATTACCTGTTGCGAATATTTACAGCGACTCACGGAAATCTTTCGATATTTGCACAAATACGAACGCGAAATATTTTGAAATTTCGATGCAATCGTCCTCGACATTTACTTTGCGTTTAAGACGGCGATTCGTGCTGCGTAGTAATTTTATATACCAAATATATATACACGTATCTGCGGTAAACGTTCACGTATATACTTTCAAACTTTATCAATACGATAGCTCGACCTCGTTACAACGTTATTTTGAAAATGTTTCGTGTAACAGACAGATAATATAGTTACGAGCGTGTTAATAATTTCGTGAGTTGCCGTATGCAGTTATCGCGACCAGGTAAATCAAGGAAGCGCAGGTAAGGCGACGAAAGTCACGTACTTGATCACTTCAGCTTGCTTGCTTTTTCCGAAAGCTTGCAACGCTTTTTCAAGCGAAAAAATAAAAATAAACAAAGGGAACGATGTAAATGGTTTATGATTCATCGATGATCGATTGATACAGCGTCGTCGTCCGAGTGCGGACGTCAGAAGACCCAGCGTGGCGGACCTCGAGAATAAGATCAATCAGCCGAGCACACCTCTTCGAGATGTCGGACCACCGGGACCACCTCAAATCGTCGATGTTCAGGAATCATATTCCGCCGTTGAAGGTACGTTACCTACGTTCCACCTTCTCTCCTTTGTAACTTCAAGGCTTCCGTGGCCCGAGTTTCTGCGATTACTATTGGCTTGGCAACTAAGTGATTGCGGATTTTGTCATTACGTGGTAATGATAAAATTAAAAAAAAAATTAAAATAAAAAATCCAATATTACTTGAGCCTTCTGGTTGTATACCGTGTTCGATAGGAACATTATCTCTATATTCCTACGTTCCTATATTAACGTATCTGTATTCCTATACAAACAATTTTTATTCTCTGTTAATGTTCATTTGTCTCGCTGTATTTCTATTGGCTTGGCAACTAAGTGATTGCGGATTTTGTCA